CTTCACGATTTGCCCTTTTGTGAACACTGCATATATGGGAAGGCAAGCCGGGTCAAGTTCTCAACAGGAGTGCATCACACGAAGGCAATTTTGGATTATGTCCATTCAGACCTTTGGGGAGCATCAAGAGTTCCATCACACTCCGGAGCTAGGTATTTTCTGTCTATAATTGATGACTATTCGAGAAAACTTTGGATTTATATCCTAAAGAATAAGAATGATGCTCTAGAAAAGTTTAAGGAATGGAAAATTTTGGTAGAAAATCAAACTGGCAGGAATCTTAAAAAATTGAGAACAGACAATGGTTTGGAGTACTGTGGGAGTGAGTTCACTCAGTTCTGTAAAGATCATGGAGTGGCAAGGCATCACACTGTTAGAAAAACCCCTCAACAGAATGGTCTTGCAGAGAGGATGAACAAGACAATTCTAGAGAGGGTTAGATGCTTACTCTCAAATGCAAATCTTTCGAAGGTTTTCTGGGCAGAGGCTGTAATGACTGCAGCTTACTTGATTAATAGAAGTCCCTCAGTAGCTATTGACCTTAAAACGCCAGAGGAAAAGTGGTCAAGCCATCCTCCAAATTTGGAGCACTTAAGGGTATTCAGATGTATAGCCTATGCTCACATCAATCAGGGGAAGTTGGAGCCTAGAGCACTAAGGTGCATGTTCTTGGGATATCCAGAAGGAGTAAAAGGCTGCAGGCTCTGGTGTGTGCAAAAGGGGCATCCAAAGGTGTTTAACAGCAGGGATGTAGTCTTTAGAGAATCAGAAATGTATTACTCTAAGGCAGATAAGACTGAATCTGAACCTGTAAATGGTGATCACAGCCGGGAGTCAGAGAAATTACAATTCGAGGTGGAGGGTTCAATGCACTCAGACAGTCGGCTTAATTCTGGCAAAGAACAAGCAGAGGCTGAAGATGAACCAGCACCAGAAAATTTTGATCAACCTGAAAATGAAGACTTGGCAAGGTCAAGTAGCTCAGGTCATTTGCAGGACTACGCATTGGCTAGGGATAGACAGAGAAGACGCGGAAGGCCACCTGAAAGATTTGGCTATGCAGAGTTAATAGCCTTTGCCCTGACAGCAGCATCCGAGGTTGAAGATCTAGAGCCTAGATCCTTTCGAGAGGCAATAAATAGCAAGCATTGTAACCAGTGGAAGGATGCAATGGAAGATGAGCTAAAGTCCTTACATAAGAACCAAACTTGGAAGCTGGTACAGAGGCCGCCAAAACAAAAGCTAATTGGAAGTAAATGGGTGTTCAAGTTCAAGGAAGGCATACCTGGTGTGGAGAAACCTCGGTACAAGGCAAGACTAGTCGCCAAAGGATTCTCCCAAAGAGAAGGAATAGACTACAACGAAGTATTTTCACCGGTCGTGAAATATAGTTCCATAAGAATTCTCCTGTCACTGGTTGTAAAAGGTGATTTAGAGTTGGAGCAACTAGATGTAAAGACAGCCTTCCTTCATGGTGAACTTGAGGAGAGCATTTACATGGCGCAGCCGGAAGGATTCTTGGAAAAAGGTAAAGAGAATTTGGTTTGCCTCTTGAAAAAGTCCTTGTATGGACTGAAACAGTCCCCAAGGCAATGGTATAAGCGTTTTGATTCTTTTATGATTCAAAACAGTTTCAATAGGTGTGAATTTGATAGTTGTGTGTTGATGAGTGAGTTTTACTCGCTCATTTGGTATCGTTTTAAACTTAATATCTAGTTGGTTTCGAGGTTTTTGTTAGTTTTTATGTGTGTTTTCGTTCTTTGTTTGAAGGATCGAACTTGATAAAGTGAAGCAGCAACTGAAGAGAGAATTTGAAATGAAGGACATGGGCCCTGCCAAAAGAATTCTCGGCATGGACATTGTCAGAGACAGGGACAAAGGAGTTCTATTTGTTTCTCAGAAAGGATATGTTGAGAAAGTGCTTAAAAGGTTCAAAATGTATGATTGCAAATGAGTTTTGACACCTATGGGCCAACATTTCAAGCTGTCACAAGAGGACTCCCCATCAGGTGAAGATGAAGTTACTTATATGGAAAGAATACCTTATGCAAGTGCAGTAGGGAGCTTGATGTATGCGATGGTTTGTACTAGACCGGACCTAGCTTATGCAGTAAGTGTGGTTAGCAGGTATATGGCTAATCCAGGGAAGGCTCACTGGGAGGCTGTGAAGTGGATATTCAGGTATCTTAGAGGATCGGCAGGAGTTGGATTACTGTATAGAAGACATAGCAGTGACTTGGAGGCTGTTATTGGCTTTGTAGATTCAGACTATGCAGGTTGTGTTGATAATAGGAGGTCTTTTACAGGATATGTGTTTAAAGTTTGTGGGAATGTTGTTAGTTGGAAGGCTAACTTGCAGCAGGTTGTTTCACTTTCAACAACTGAAGCCGAATTTATGGCTTTGACAGAAGCTATAAAGGAGGCCAAATGGTTAAAGGGAATTGCAGCAAGGTTAGGAGTCAAACAGGTTGCAGCCAAAGTGTATTGTGATAGCCAAAGTGCAATACATTTGGCTAAAAATCAAGTCTACCATGAAAGAAGCAAGCACATAGACGTGAGGCTCTATTTCATCCGAGAAGTCATAGCCAAGAAGGAGATTTTTCTGGAGAAGGTATCTACAGATGAAAATCCAGCTGACATGATAACCAAAGCATTACTGTCACCAAAGTTCAAACATTGTTTGAACTTGCTGGAAATGAATGTTGTTGGTGTCAACGTGGTCTGAAGATGTGCCAAGGTGCTGGAAATTGCAGCCAGGTGGAGAATTGTTGGGATTACGTGGCTGCTAATTCAACTAGTGACGTGGCAACTTGGACTTGGTCTAAGTTGGAGGCTACAGAGGAGGCTCAGTGTACAGATCTACAGGAGATCAAGATTAGAGATAAAGGCGGTTTAGGAATATAGCTACATAATAAGCTAGTACATATTCCAGAAAATGTCATTATCTGTGAGATCATCTTTTTGTGGGAGGTTTTCTGTATAAACCAGAGAGAGAGTGAGCGATTTCTTAAAAGTGTAAATACTTGAGAAATTGTTCTTTGTGAATAAAATTTCAGTTGAGGTTTTTCCAGAATTCATCTTCTTCATTCTTTTGTTCTTCTCGTTCTTGAGTTCTGAGATTCAGTTCTTGGTCAGATTACTCAGAGACTAGAATCCCTAAGTAGCTCCCTAAAAATTTGTCTATACAATCTCTATGATCTGTATATACCTATACAATCTTCTATACAAGATAATAAAATTAATTACAAAATCGTTGACTATGTCAACAGTGTTGTTTTATGTTGAGACTTGAGTCAATTTTCTTTTTTCTTTTTTTAATCAATTATTGTCTTTTTCCCCCCTTTGATTTTATTTAGACGTTGTCAAACACTCATACTTTGATATAAGATATCGTTTAACGTCTGTGTTGTCGTTTACAAGTTAGTTCCGGTTACTACAACACTATCTTTCCTTGTTGGCTTGTTCTGACATTGTTAATTTCTCACTTATTGTCGTTCCTTAAGGAGTTGTCGTTTTTCCTAAATCGTTATTCCTTCACAAGTTATTGTGGTTAATTATTTATGCCATTCTCAACCTCCTGATCGTTATCGTTTTTAACTCATTATTGTTTTATTACGTCATTATGGTTTATTTTAATCGCCGTCATTTTCATTCCAATATTGTCATTTCATTAATCAATGTCGTGTCTCCTGGCAAGTTTTTTAACATTGTCCCTTTCGTTATATTATTGTTGTTGTTGTTGTTTTTTTATTTTTATTTTTTATTAAGCAAGTGTTATCACTAAGGTCTGTCTTTATTCATTTCGTTAATTTGAGTTTAAAATTTGAGTTTTGTTACAGTAAAAAGTTTTCATAAATAGTCATATTTAACTTTTTTGTTACAGTAAAAAAACTCTCACATAAAGTCACATATCAAGTCGAATTAAAAATTCAAATCAGCGAACTAAACGGGCCTTTAATTTTTTATTGCAGCATGATTTTATTCTTCTCCACTGCTTTTTTAACATTGTTGTTTTTCTCAATTGTCATTTTCGTCTATTTTTGTTTATTGATTCATTATCGTTTTTACTTGATGCCATTTTCTGCGCTTCTGTTATCAGTCCTTTTTTTCCCTTCTGTTATCTTTTAAATTAATGTCGTTTATATTTACAATGTCGCTATTGAAAAATTTAAAGCAATGTCGTTTATATTTTTAAATGTGAAAACTTCCCATATTGTTAGTTTATCAATCCATTTTAAAAACTTAAGCTATTATGAGGTGGGCCAATAATAGTTTTATACTTTAATACAACACGTGAATATTTAAGCTCGAGATATATTAAAGACCCAACACATGATGATAATTTTAAAATGGAAATAAAGAGTGCAATTACGAGGGTTTAAACTCAAGACTTCCTGCTTTGATACCATATTAGTTTATTAATCTATCTTAAAAACTTAAGCTATTAAGAGGTGGATAAATAATAATTTTACAATTTAACACTTCCCATATTGCACATATTGTTTGTCTCTTAGGAATCATGTTATGGATGTTTTTATCATGATCTGTTACCACCCAGAAGAAAAAGTTTTTAACACAATTTTTAAAACGAAAGGGATAGTAGTTGTACTCGTTTGTAAAACGGAAGGTATAAACATCCTCAAAACAAAAAAGGCGAGTGAAAATGTTGAATAGAATGGAAAGTAAACATTTCCATAAAATCCAGTAGAGATTTTTGTTATTTTCACGTTCTCAAATTCATCCTAGTCGTTGTCGTTTTTAAGTTATACGCTTCGTTTATGTGATATTCTTGTATATTCTGATTGTCGTTTTACAAAATTTTATCGTTTTTAGAAGTTTCCAGTCGTTTCCTTGGCAAAAAAGTAACTAAACGAAATTAAGAACATCATACGGCCAATAACGCACAGCCAACTCAGACATCGATAACTGAACCCCAGTTACGAAATGCCAAAAATACCCTTCCAAGGCAGAAACTACGAAGGAAAGAAAACCCATCTCTTCGTACTCATACGCTTTCCCGGAAATCTACTGCTGCTGGTTTCCACTTTCTCTCCATCTCTCGCGGTCCCCAAATCCAAAACCCTAATTCGAACTTTCTCCACCCAAATTCTCGATCGAATCCCAAGAATCTTCCAATCCGATGACGAAGGAGTTCGCGGTACCTCCCGTCGTCTTCCCCTCCGGCGGCAATCCCGGCGCCGCCTCAGGAAACATCCAGCAGCGCCGCGTCGCGACGGCGCCGTTTCAGCCCTCTACCTCCAGCCTCTCCTTTATTCCCTTCGACATCGGCCCCGCCGTCGGATCCTCCTCATCCTCCGCCGGAATCTACGGTGGCGGCCCGATCGGCGGCGGTCCTGCTCCGGGAAATGTGAATTTCGAGGACGAGGAGCCGCTTCTTGACGAGCTAGGTATTCATCCAGATCAAATCTGGAAGAAGACCAAATCGGTCCTCAACCCGTTCAGAGTCAACCCGGCCGTCCACAAGGACTCGGACCTTTCCGGCCCGATTCTCCTCTACATGGCGCTCTGCCTCTTCCAATTGCTCGCTGGAAAGATCCAGTTCGGCGTCATCCTTGGCTGGATCGTCGTCTCCTCGATCTTTCTCTACGTGGTGTTCAACATGCTCGCCGGCCGCAACGGGAATCTTGATCTGCACACGTGTACGAGCGTGGTTGGCTACTGTATGTTACCGGTGGTGATCCTAGCGGCGGTGTCGTTGTTCGTGCCTCAGGTCGGTGCCGTGAGGTTCGCCGTCGCCGCGGTGTTCGTTCTCTGGGCGACTAGGGTTTGCACGGGACTCATGGTTTCGCTCGCCGACGGCGGAGACGAGCACCGAGGGTTGATATCGTATGCGGCTCTCTTGATTTACACTTTGTTTTCGCTGCTTGTTATATTCTAGGGACGTTAATATGATCAGTGATTTGGGGGTTTTCTTCAATTTTTTGTTGAATACTATCGTAACTGAGGTTAATCCCTTGTTTAAAATTTGTTTGTTTGTTTTTTTTTTTTTTTTCAGTTTTTCAATGAGGGATTTAATGGGTGTAATGACTGATTGATGATCTTCAGGAGTTTATGATAATGTGATGAGTGATCCTATGTAGAAAATGGGTATATTACTCTGTTAATGAATGAATTCATTCTTTATAGAATTAGAGATAGATGTTTCTTCTTCTACTACTTATACAGGCTAAGTTGGTTTGTTCAAAGAACATTATTTTCGGGTTCTTATACCTTTTTCTTACATGATGCTGTGAGTTCAGTTTGCTTACTTTTAGTTATTTAAGTCATTGTGTTGTAAGCTGGCTAATTTACTCTGTTAATTAATGAATTCATTCTTTATGGCTAGAGATGGATGTTTCTTTTGCTTACTGTTTAAACATGTTAATTTGGGTTTGCTCAAAGAAGCAAGTTTTCAATTGCTTGTACCCTTTCCTTACATGATGGTATGAGTTCATTGTGTTTAGTTTTAATTATTAAAGATATTGTGTCCTAAGCTGGCTAAATTAGGATTTTGAATTTCCATGATTTGGCACGATGAACAGATAGTTGATGAATAATTACGCTTTAGTTTACTGGCTGTTGTTGGAGAGAAATTATCAATTATGTTAGGTGGCCCTTGAAAGGATTTGTCTTCAGGTTTTGCGCATCGTGACTCATCTTTGATGTAGTTGCATCATATGTTCTGTGTCTGTTTTTAAGAGTTTAGGTGGTCAATAACCCAATGGTTTGGCGGTTTGATACTTTATTCCATTCACTTCACCTATGTTTTCATGGGTTGATATACTTTAAACTCTTTAAGGTTCCTTAATTGATGTTTGGTAATTTAATACGTCATTCAAGGCATATGATTGCAGAAGGAAAAGATTTTCAGGAGGGTCGGATGTTCCTTATTCTTCAATTATTAGTCCTAATTGGTAATCCATGTTTGAAAATGGTGGTGCTTGCCAAAATCAGGGGTCACATTCTACTTAACTGTCACAAAAGAAAGATACACAACTTTCTTTTGAAATGTATCTGGATTATTTCCTTTCTCTGATCACCCTTAGTCTCCTTGTAAGAATACTTAATCACATCCATAGAGAATCAATTTCAAGTTTTCTGAAATGACAATTATTTCTGATGGTGGCTGGCGAGAACCTACTTAGATTCTTCCATCATCACATCATCTTTTCTGTTTAAATTTAGGAATCCAGTCACCTATTGGTTCTATATGTTTTTTTCCTTTTCTTTGGCTACTTAGTTACATCATCTTTATCTCGGTTATATGCATTTTCCTTTTCGTTTGCCATATCCATAGTGTTCAAATTCATTCATTATTTTCCTAAAATTTTAAAATTTCAATTCTCAAAAATTTTGCTGTAAAAAATTAACCCAAATATGTACTTATTTTCCAGTGGGGCTCGCTGAATTGTGCAATGACCGCTTTTGTCAGAATTATCTTTTTATGTCTCTAGAATTCAAGCTGTATTGTAGAATCTAATTTCGTATTGTTAAAAAGTAGTTACTTACAGGACTACGTAGATAATGTTATCCTCAAAGTATAGCTCACAAGTGCAGCCACCAATTCCAGATTTTCATCTTGGCGAATAACTGCTGAAACTGAAGAAAACTAACCTCTGTTTTTGTTATTATAGGAAATTAATTATATTCACTTAATATTCCAGTCTTGGCATGTCTTTGATGTGTTGTACCTTGAGCTTTATTAATTTGCTAAATTATTTGTTTATGTAATCATCGAATATGGAGAATATTGTTTTCTTTTTCTTGGAAGATCATAATGTTGGTTGTTAACAGGCTTCAAAGATCCACTATTATATTATCCTCTGTTTTTGTAGATGGAAGATATGATCAGCAAGCCCAGCTTTCTCAGAATTGGTTGTGACTTGTAAGGCTTAGTGCACATTTCTCTATTAATTATTTTAGAAGATATAGCAATATTTTCTGTTCTGTTGAGGTAGTTAGGTCTACTTTCTACTGACATTATTTGATGGTTTTGGTTGGTTTGAATCAACAGCCCTCTTTGAGACTAAAAAAGTTGAGCTTTTAGATTTATAAAATGAGTTGTGCACTGTTCTGTTATGAACTGATTGCTTAATTGTTTTTAGCTTGTTATATTTCCAAGGATAATTGGGATAATTTTTTATATTTCTGGGTCACATTGGAGAAATCATTTAGGAATTGTATAGACACAAGTAGGCTGAAGTCAATGACATGTCGGATTGGATTGGGAGGAATATGTCATTTTCTGAGACCAATGTGGCATTTTTTTTCCCTCCTGATTGTTGTTGAATCATGTTGATTTGTTGAGGAGCGTTCTACTTACCACCTGACCTTTACCCATATATGGCCCGACAATCAAATATAAATATTAGGTCTATGAAACTTAAAGAACCATAAAGGAGAATCTTTTAGCACTTAGAAGAACCACCATGGCATCTGTTCTTAGATATTCTGCAGAAGCAAGCAAAGATCAAGTGAATATGGAAGACGAAGACGATCTTTTCGAGATTGATCTCGAGGCGGTCAGCAGCATCCCTCCGCCGCACTACTGGGGCAGCGGTGTCACGGCGACCAGAAGTGCTCTTCTTGCCAATTGCCTGCTGCCCATATCCGATCTTTCCTGTGCTGTTCCAATGGTTTCAAGAGCTTGTAGTGCATTGTCGTTTGCAGGGACTGGTAATGTTGTGATGATTGTGGAGCCTATGCCATTGGGGAAGCATTTTCAGTTGTCATCCTTTGGTTCTTTTGGGATTCAACAAAAGGGCATGAAAGCTTGATTAAATAACGAGTAATACTAGGAAATTAAGATGTAAAAGCTGAATTAGTTCTAAACAGATCTTGTACAACTTTTTACTGTTAAATAACAGAAATTATATGGTAATTTATTTACGAAGTGTTAACAAGTATGATTATTATGAGATTGTCGTAGAATATAATCTTGTTTATTTATTTCATTTCTTAAAAAGGTGAAGAGTTAAGAGAAAGTAGTTGGAAATGCCATTAAATAACCACCAAATGAACAATAAATTTGTATTCTGTGATATTGTTAATATTTTCGCGAAATATGTATCAAAATATCCTGCCATTTGAAAGCATGTAGGGTAAGTTTAGTGAAGAGAAAAATTGACAAAATTTTTAGAATTTCTTTTTTCCCTTATATTTTGTTGTTATATCGTTATTATTATTTACAGTTACTGATCCTTACAAGAGTGCGTCGTTGCTCGTTTTAGCCGGATGAAGAAGGAACGGCACGTCGTTATCAAGACTCTAATGGCTAAGGCCCGGGTAGCCCTGCTTCTAAGTTTTTCTAACGGAAATAGTAGGAAATAGACCAATATGAAAATCTTAAGAAAGCATATAGGTCAATTTGTAGTTATAGAAATTAATAGGTCATAACTTGTTAAGTTATGGTTCATAACCAGATAAGTTATGGACAAACTTGTCAAGTTATGGTTCATAACCAGATAAATTATGGACAATAACTTGTTAAGTTATGGTTCATAACAAGACAAGTTATGGACGAAAACAGTAATTTGACCTATTTATTAACTTATGTAAACTATTAGCCTATTAATTTTAATTCATCTCAAGTCTTGATCTATTTTCCTCTTTCTCTCTTTTTCTAATTGCCCGTATAAAGTCGAAAATTATGGAGATTGGCCAATTAGAAAGTTTAGGCACTCATTCTTATCCCTGTAATTGCCTTTCCCGTGAGGTGTCCATTTTCTTTGGGCTCTAAAAGGCACAATTCATTTCGCGGTGAAGTCTGATAGATTATATGTGTGTCTATATATACATATACATATATATATATATATACATATACATATATGTATATGTATATCGTATTGAGCAATTGAGTTAGTTAATAGTCTAAAGAAATTAACGAATTTAACCTCTTCATATGTGCTGTACGTTTCAATCTATTTAAAAACGGGTTTTAAAGGAAATTGCCGCCGGTTTTAGGCTTAACTTATATATATATCAAGGAATATAAACTATTGTAAAAAATACCACAATTATATCGTCATAATATATCTAAAATATTAAGGGTTTGTTTGTTTGCACTTAACTCAAAAAAGTTCGAACTCAAATTATAATTTTATTTAAATTCATGTTCTTTTATAAAATTTGAGTTTGAACTTGATTTTTAACTTGAATTTTAACTTGAGTTTAGGGTTAAAATCTGAGTTCAAGTTTCCCCTTCAACTCAAGTTCCTAAGCTCAAATTTAAATTAATGAACAATATTTTTTTTATTCTTAAAAACGTTATAACTTTTTCGTTTTAATTCCGATTGAGATGATTCTTTTTGTTTTACACGTTCACAACAAAGAGACAAATAAAATGTTAAGACCTAGGTTCAGAACTTGAGAATTCACACATAAATGAGAAATTGGAAAGAAACAATTGGATTGAATTGATTAAGGCTTCAGCTATTGAAGGAATTACAAGAAGATATGGGGATGTTCGAGCGACCCCTTGCACTCCCTAGAGCTTTAAGCTCGTCTATAACAATTACAGAGAAGTTGATTCAATGCCTCCTACACTCTTCTCTCTCTGTTTTTATTCCCTAGTCTCACTAACTGTTTCCCTCTACCCTTCTCCTCTTCTGATGCCCTCTTGGGATCCGAGACATCACGCTCTTCACCCCGATGTGATCTCAACATCTCCTTGCATCCCTTCCATGTCAGCACCTTTTTCTCCTCTAACCGTTTCCACCTCACTAGCCTCCACCACATCCCTTGCTGCCATATCAACCTAAACTCTTCTCGGCCTTCTTCTAGCAAAGGTGAAACGTAATGGGGGACTGGGGAACCCATCAATACCCCCGGCCCAAAGACTCATCTTGTCTACAAGGTGAAAATCTGGGAAGGCTGCTTGTATGCGGTCGAAACTCTCCCAACTGTCCTCATGATCGGGCAGTGCATCCCAATGGATGAGGACCTCCAGTTCCAACGTAGACCTACAGGTCGCTTGGCAGACTCCTTGCAGTGCGGATGGCCGAACCTCGAGCTCCATATCTGAAGTGAGTTGTGGCGGTAAAACAGCTTCCGGAACAGTAGAGCCCATGGCCCTGCGTAGTTGTGACACATGAAAAACAAGATGGATGGCCGTGGACTCTGGCAGCTTCAATCGGTAGGCGACCTG